CTTGAAGTGAAGTTGTCGCGAATTGAAGTGAACTTGCCGCGAATTGTAGTGAATAACAGACAATTATCCTTTGTGTCCTTATTCTTTTGGAAAAATGTCACTATACGGTGCCGATCTCTCTATACAAAACTCGGTAATTATTTAGAATAGGAGAGGCAGCACCGATGACCTTGACCATGACATATGTTATCAAGGTCATGATTCTGAGTAACTTTGCCTTAACAACTAGCTGTCGCTCGCCTTTCGTTAAAAAGTTATTAACAATTATAGTTTTAAAATAGTAAATGTCTCAATCAAGGAACCTCCCTCCAATGACTTTGACCTTGACATATGTTGTCAAGGTCATAACCCTGAGTAACCCTCAACAGGTTTTAGTTGTCGCTCGTCCTTCGTTAAAAAGTTATTAACAATCATAGTTTTAACGTATGCTATCATGTATGATATGAAGTACTATTCTACACCTTTTCCTGTTCAGAAACGTTAAACTTTCCACGCGGAGTAACTTTCACCCCCCCCCCACTCCCCTGTACAGGGGCACACGACTTCTACGATTGTACTGTTGCTATGATTGTACTGTCGGGGCAGACCTCTGTGACGGTGTGGGTGCGGTGTGGTGGCCAAAGGCCACCTCCTTGCATGTGTGTGTGTGTGTGTGTGTGTGTGTGTGTGTGTGTGTGTGTGTGTGTGTGTGTGTGTGCGCGCGTGTGTGTGTAAAATATCAAGTAATAGACTATTATCGTTATATAACGAATGGAACACACCGTCACAGAGGTCTGCCCCGACAGTACTATCATAGCAATAGTACAATCGTAGAAGTCGTGTGCCCCTGTGCAGGGGGGAGGGTGAAAGTTACTTCGCGTGGAAGGTCAAAACCTATGTAGAATAGTATTTAATACTGTATATATAGCAAAAATAGGACATTATTTTTGAAACTTTTTTTGTTAATATCTTTTTAACGAAGGGCGAGCGACGGCTAGTTGTTAAGGCAAAGTTACTCAGAATCATGACCTTGATAACATATGTCAAGGTCAAGGTCATCGGTGCTGCCTCCCCTATTCTAAATAATTACCCAAAACTCTGTTACTAGTACAAAATACTATATTTGTAATTCGTTCTAAAAACATCTATATTAGAGTTAGAACTGACTGTCGTATATAATCCTGTAATTTATCCAATTTATCCCATCAGACCGTTTTTAAAAGAAATTGTAGCTTATTGTTACAAATATGATTACCATAATAATAAACTAAATCTACTAAAATTTATCTAAAGCATACTGTTTTTCATGATTACAGTTAAATTGCAATTTGTAATTCCAAAAATTAATAAAAATGCAAAAAGAAATCAAAAAATTTACCTACGGACTTTACTTTCTCAAACATTACTGTATTATTCGCAACGTGAAGCGACGCCTTTGTTGCAAACAATGTTACACCATAATTTTATTTAACATCAGTAATTTACGATAGAAGGGACGAAATGCTCTATGTCATATTCTCAATTATTAGTTATACAGAATGATTAGTTTTTAACGATCAATTTTTAATTATAGACAGTCTATCGGGAACTTCCATAATAACAGTGAAAATATATTATACATACGTTTTTTTCCATAATTCTAATCAATGTATGTCAGTCTTTGTATCATATTCTTCTCTTTATATAATATATTGACACATAAATTTTAATTAATAACAATGAATTAAAAGATTGAAGGCATATCACACTTAAATTCAGATAAATGTTTCAGATAAATAATTCTAAAAAGTTCTATTTTTCCAAAAATTGTAATAATAATAATAACTTTATTATGTGTACTATTAACATTAAAGAGATAAATACGGTAATATTGATATCACGTATCAATTACACTACATTATGCTTTTGAGGCTTTCACGGGAATTTTCTTCAATTATACCAGAAAGTTTGCGGGTTATCGCCGTGTCTTTCTTCATTGTTAATGCCAACATTAACAATGAAGAAAGACATGGCGATAACCCGCAAACCTTCTAGTATAATTACACTACATTATTATGCTGGACAACAGCTAAGCAGCTGATTTGAAACCGTATCTGAATATCGTTCCAAATATGATGTCAGATTTTCACAATTCAAAATGGCGGATCCAATATGGCGGATAAAAATTATAAAAAAGGTTTGGATTTGCTTGAAACTTGTTACTCGGGATGTTTTTGGGATGAACAATAAGAAGAAAAGTACAAACAGTTGCTTTGATATTAAAACTTTGAGGCAAATTTAATCTCCGACTAAAATACGGGAAGCCGTGGTAGAGAGAACGTAAAGCAGATGGCAAAATATTACAAAATTCCACTGCAGTGTAAGAGAAGGCACTTTGAAATTTAGATGTGTGATGAATAGGATATGAAAGTTGTTATCGCTAACGAGTATCAAGTAGAGAACTTGAATGAGAGTCCGCGTTAAAATGGATTAGCTTACGAAGATATCTAGGAGTAGATATTAATACAAAAATATTATAAATCAGGCAACACGAATGAACTATGAAGCGATGGAAAAAAACTTACGTGACTGTATACTGTATCGGCATAATCAAATAGAGATATAATTAGAGATTGTGTAACTAGTACTTTCTGAGAGAGCGACATGATGTGACGTAAAGGATACAGTAATTTAAGACGAAAATATACGTATATACCTTTAATTTACGAAAATTAACGTTACATTGTGAATATTAACATCTATGTATTATACGTAATACATTTTATCAAAGTGAGATTCGGTCACGCTTGATCCCCAAATTTCGGAAGGGGCAACGGAGGAGCGTCACCGAGTTCGGGCTCTCGCAGGTACACACCGTGGAGTATCCTGCGAGTCGATCGTACCTTTAAATGCTCCGGAAAATGGGTCAGTGTCTCGAAAGAGACACTATGACGCCTTTTTCCGTGAGCGGTCACGAAATTGGTCCTTTAATTTAGGTCAGGGAACTTAATCCCTATTACCTGGGAGTGGACCTGTGCGATCTAACGGGAATGGATGAAGGAATGCGAGAAAGGGTTTAAGAAATTAAATTAAAACGATTGGTAGGAACATGTTGGAGTATGTAGGCGTGTGTGACAAAAATAAATCTTGTATTTCTCTTTAATTCTTTATTTTTTTTTTTTGTGTGAAATTATTTCGCTGAAGTGCGACAGTTAGTGCCACAGAGGACACAGAGAATTGATGGAGATTTACAGCACTGTTCTGTGGTATTTACACGCGGAAGTACAGTTGTTTACGCTTGTTCAAGATCTAGTTTCCCCAAGATCATAATTCGGCAGCATGGTGCGCCACGGGCAATCTCTTCTCAGCGCAAACGGAACATGAAACTGCGATCAAATTTTTCCAAAGAGCTATTCAGGTACTACACATTAATTTTAATTGTAGTGTAAAATGGAGCAGTGCATATATGACTTATTGTATTAAAAGTAATATACCGTTTTTTTTATTACTTATTAGGTGGATCCTAATTTTCCATACGCCTATACATTACTGGGGCATGAATACGTTTTGACTGAGGAGCTAGATAAAGCGATTACTGCTTTTCGTAATGCCATCAGATTCAATCCCAGACATTATAATGCATGGTATATATAAATTCTAAAAAATTTTATTAGTATATATTATAATATTGTATACTTTTTGAAGCTGTCTGAATTCGTATGTAAAATATTTCTCCATGTCTCATTAAAGGTTCGGATTAGATACGATATTTTCGAAACAGGAATAATATAGTTTAGCGGAGTTACACTTCAAACGGGCCTTACAAATAAACCCGCAGAATTCTGCGTTAATGTGTCACATAGGTGTCGTGCAATACGTCCTGAAGAAGACTGATCAGGCATTAAAGACTTTGAACACTGCGCTAATGAATGATCCGGATAATACTTTATGCAAATTCCATCGTGCGAGCATCAACTTTTTTATTGGTCGACATATGGAAGCTCTAAGAGAATTCAAGGAGTTAAAAAATATTATACCCAAAGAATCTCTAGTCTATTATTCGATAGGAAAAGTAAGAAATTAGTTAATCAAACAGATTTTTTTTAACATTTCTTATATAAATATATCTTTATATTTGCAATAGGTACATAAAAAGTTAGGCAATACCCATTTTGCGTTAATGTACTTTAGTTGGGCAATGGATTTAGATCCGAAGGCTGTTAATAGTCCAATTAAAGAGGCTATATTGAATCCAGGTCAAGGAGATGATGACTTCCCACCGACGCAATCAGGTATATAGTTGTCAAATATATTAGCATTTATACAGAATTTTAATTTTTTAGAACTTTAAAAACATTTATGTTAAAAATATATTATTTTATATTTATATAAGTGAAGTGGTTCGTGATATTTTTACCATACAAATATGTATTATTGATAATATAATGATTTATATAGTTTATTTCGAATCACAAAATTATTGTACTTTTATAGACGAACAGCAAGCACAGAGTAACTCAATGGAACAGGATATTGAAACTAGTAGAGAAGGAAGTGCCGCGCCACTTGCTGGAAATGTTTCGGTCGAACCTCATGCCGATGACAGCGACGATAGTTTATGAAAGCGATATGCGAGAAGACTTCCGTGAAAAAGAGATAGAGCGTTACTACCCTCATTATCCGAATCATTTTTCGCCAATCTCGCTTTGCTTACGGAGTCACTGATGTGCGATCATTGATTTAAATTGAACGGTTGTCGACATCTTTGCAAATTATTCCATAATTCGGTTAAAAAGAATTATTATATTATTTTCTCGCATCATCAAATTTTTCTTTCATCTTGCACGAATTTGAGATTTTAATATACATGGGTGCGATGTCTTTGCAAAGATAGAAGAGACTCGCATGTCGTACCCTCCATCGATTTGTATATTACGTGTTTGCGTCTGTATATTTTTTTACGATTGCTTGATTATTTTTTCTATCTTTTGCGCTCTCAATCATCTTTTTCGCGTACCTCGTCCTGTTTCGCGAATAAGTCGCTTTAAATCAAATGTGATTCAGAGACGAGAATTCGTAAAGAGTTTGGCTTTAATCAAGCTTGATTATAATAAAGAATGAAAGAGAAGAATCGATTTAATTCGCGATGAAATATTAAAGATTTACGGTTGAGTAGAGGACTATAATCACGTTGCGATAAACTGAATGATTATAACCGTAAGCATGTCGTATATAGTTAGGTAATACGATTAATTGTTCGCGATAAGGAAAAAGAGTCTTGTGTAAATGTAAATTATTATTACTGTGTACTTACTGCTATTATTACTATTAGTGCTATTATTACCATTATTATTCGTATGATTATCATTGTTGATCTAGTGATTGTGAAAGTATCGTTGGTTGCTCGGCGTCAGAGCGGCCGCTGGACGATCGTGCAATTCTCGTCACGAAGATCCCCTCGGTTGATCGAACATACGAGTCCGAAACACTGTCACTGCGATTTCAGTGGTTCAGTAATCGCGCGTAACATTCGGTTTTTCGGTCTCGATCTGATATCCGGAATAAAGCGTAACTCGCCTCGCAAATGTCTATATATATAGAAATACTCGTCGAATTATATTCTCGAGTAATAATATATAATATATTTTATTATATTTTCAAAATGAAAAAAGTGTCTATTTTTTATATTAAAAAAAAGTATGACAATGTTAAATTTATTAATTAAAAATTGTTGCTCACAGCGCGCGCGAGCGCGTTGAAAACAGTAATTTTCAATTAATAAATTTAACATTGTCATGCTATGTACTTTTTAAGATATCTACAATACATTTTTCAAGATATCTAAAAGATATCTATTAGATGTCTTTTTGAAGCATTTAAAACATCTTCGCCGGATATCTAAAAGATATTTTTTAGATATGATTTCGGACATCTTCGCCGGATATCTAAAAGATATCTTTAAGATATATATCTCTAGATGTATAAAAGACATCTCTAAACGTTGCATAAGACATCTTTTAGATCCCTAAAAGATGTCTACGTAAAAAATGAAAGATATCTCAAGATAAGGCAAGATTATATCTTTTAGAAATATAAAAGATATACCCCCGTATTCATAGTCAGACCTTATACTTAAGGCTTCCTTAAATTTATCTTTAGATACTCAGTAGCCAATAAAATAATTCGTAGATCGTCTGAAGATAAATTTAAGGAAGCCTTAAGTATAAGGTCTGACTATGAATACGGGGGATATTTTTGTCTATATGTGGGATATCATCAAAATATAATATAATAGTTGAAAAATGATTCTAGATAAAACGTTGAAGACAAATTAAAACAAAATCTCAAAGATGTCATAATAAATCAAAAAGTAGATGTCAATATTTTTTCTGGTAGTTTTTTTTATAAGATATCTTCGAAATTTCAAGACAATGTTTACATGATTTCATAACGTTATAATTTTATTTTCTTCATCGATATTTGCACTCTTATTATCTTTTTGCTGATATTTCGTTTTGCATGTTTGAAACATAAATTATTTATATTGCTTCATGAAACGGATGGATAGGACAGCATTAGACAAATTGTCAAAGATCAAATATCTATATATGTTAAAATTTAAATTATAAAAGTTATTAAGGTAGTTAGACCTAGAACGCAAAACTTTTTAATACTTGATATTAAAATTTTAAGATTAATATATATTGATTTTGCATCTTGCTGTTGTATTCCGAAATTGCTTCTCGGTCTTGCCATATCTTAATCGTAGCGATCCAAAGTCTTTACGATGACGCTGACAAATGTTAGGCATCGTTGAGATTTGCCTAGATTATTTTTAAGTTTCGCTCTAACGGTCTATCTATTCGAATTTTTGAACAGTCACGCGATAAAAATGGCAACCGCCTGTTCGCAAGAAAAGTCTGAATTTTTCAATCAAGTGGCGCCGCCATGATACAAACCTACGCCACCTACTGGTAACGTTAAATGACGAGACATGAAGAACGTGGCAGACTGGCAGAAGTGGCAGAACCAGGCAGAGCGTGTACTTGCGTTGGACTTGTCTCTCCATTTCTGTGAGGAAACTGTGCATATATGCATCGAAGATAATTAGGAGTGGATAATTATCGTAAGTGCTACTTTCAATGGGACAAATATCACATATTTATTTCGACTCTTTTGAGGAAGTGTTTCTAGAGGTTATCAAAATTAAAGCTCTTTAGGCACAATCCAAATCTACTTATCTCAACTTTAAACATTTTTAGCTTTCATTAATTGATTTTTGACAACTGGCATCTTGCTTTGATTTTTCTTGTTCAGTCTGAATAAAAGTATCACGATTTTATTTCAATTTTTGTCAACTTCGGAGATTTTCACCGAAATTGAACATGGCGTCTTATCTCGTAATACATGTGTATTTCTTTCGCTTGGAAATATATATAAAAGTTGTTCTTTTTAGTTAAACTTCTTGCACAAATCATCTCTTTCTTCTTTTGTCTCTCTCGTTGCAGAAAAAGTTGAAAGCTAAACCATGCATAGAGAGAGAGAAAGGGGGGCGGAGAATTGAGCTAAAAAGGACACAGCAAGTCTATTTCTGTAAACAACAAGAAGGAAGCAAAGCCTATCACGGTCAAATCTAGATCACAATGTTTATTATTATGTGTGAATTTTATGTACCGCGTATGTAGTTCCCCTAATCGCGTGCCGAAAATTTTTTCAGACTTACAACGCAACTCTAAATAACTACCGCGGTAATATTACTTTAGTTAAATTGACAATCAATCTAACAAATTTCGATGCTTATAGCATCTTATTAGATCTTAATAATATGTTGAAAGACATATATTAAAATTTAATATTAAAGTAATGATAATTTGAAATCTGTGAAAAAAATTTTTCTTATCTATCTAGTTATTAACTATCCATATCAACAGTGATTATTAGGATTTCTACGATATATATTCATCAATCGCACTTCTGATTTAATCGATACACTGATTCCATGAAAGATTGAAATTTTTCGGAAAATGGTAAATAGAGTGAAAAACTGTGTCCTTTGCCGCTTTGTTGATGATTGTGATGTCCTCGGTAATACTTCGAATAATGTACGTATGTATACCGTTGGCTTTATTCCGATTCCTCGGTAAGCCGGCAGATATTTCAGATACTTCAAATTGCGGCGCATTTTATAATAAACTATGATAAGTATTTACGCCGCAATCTGAAGTATCTGAAATATCTGCCGGCTTACCGAGGAATCGGAATATCGGAATAAAGCCAACGGCATATATATGTATATTCGAAGTATCACTTCGTAGAAGATCATGATTGTTGATGACAATATTTTAAATGTTTTTCTAATGCTTCGCGATTCGATTGATTCCGTCTAATGGTAATTCTATAATGTGCTCTTTCTTTCCTGTTTCTTGCTGTTTGTCCCTTGTTCACTCTTGCCTTTTTGACCAAAAAGCAAGAGACAAACAGCAAGAAACAGGAAACAAACAGCACATTGTAGAATTACCATATCGGTTATACACAAACGAATAAAACAAATACAACGGTAATTGTATGCTGTTTTTTTGCCTGAACATAGATTTGTCGAAAAAAAATGGACGATTGGCTAGAAAAATTTGAAAAAATGAAAAAGCAGTTTACAATTGGTGATGACATGTTTGAAATGCTGTACGATTTCGAGAACAAAACAAGCGAAGATAAACGAGCGATAATAAATATGCTACACAAATTTGCATCGTTCCGCAAGTGCAAGTACGTTGAACAAAAATTCATATTATAATAGATTACGTACAAATAAGAAACATAATCAACTAACCTTCTCCGATTTTAATTATCTTTTATATGGATATGTTAAAATATAGACAAAAATAAAAGATACGTGTTTTTTTATACATGCTAAATTGTACATTAAGGGAGTAAAAATCTTGAAAAAAAATTCGTTTCCTTTTTAAGGTTTCAATTTTATCAAAATTTTTAAGTTTTATTTTTTTTCTTTTGTAATTTCGACAATATTTACTCTAAAAGGAAAAAATTAATTTTTTAAGGGAAATTTTCCTCCTTTTAACGTGTACGATTCAACACATAAAAAAAAACGTATCTTTTATTTTTGTCTACATTTTAACATATCAAAAATTTATTAAAATTGGAAGGAGTCAGTTGGTTTTATTCTCTTGTTAAATTATATATATCTGATTAAATTATATATATCTAAATTACAATATGTATATATGTATATTGTTGAAATAAGAATGGAGGCAGAGATGAAGCGATGCGATAATGATTCAAAAGAGCTGGAAAATATAGTAGAAGAGGTAGATATACTGACAAATGTATTATTTCGTTAATCATGAAAATTGATTCCTATTAATGTTTGTTGCTCCTGAATTAGTTTGTGAAATTTTGTCTTGTTTTGTATTGTTATTTATTTGTGTCTTTATCTATTTTTTTGTGTATTACTATTTATTTGTATTGCTCAAAACAGTTATAATAGGTCGTTTATTTAAAAATCTTTGAACACAAATTCAACTTTATTTTTGCGAAGCGCGCGCTTGTCATGTTCTAGTAATATTTTGCACAACCGCAAATGCGTTTAAAACAAAATGACTATTTAATTGTTCTGAATAGTGTATTTTGTACACTGCCATTCCATGTCTGTTTCTCCTATTATATTTCCAGTCTGTCGTAGTACATGTTTGATGTTTGATATTTTAATTATTCTAATTCAACTTGAATTTCAGGAAAATGGATCCAGTTTACGTTTGTTGGAGACAAACATGGAGGAGAGCGGTTCCGAGACTCCACCCTCTGGTCAGCACGACACGATCTCCGCCGTGGATACGTCGAATACGTGCATTCTCACCGGTAGCAGAGATGGTCTGATACAAGTATGGAAATGATTATTCTTTTTGGTCCAAAATTCGATTACAAAGTTCCTCGCACAGGCGATAAAAGATTTTATCAGTGTAATGCGGAATTTCTTTCCACTAATAACAAAACCATTGTGATCCAAGTAAGGAATAAGTTATTCTAGAATTCAGATAAATCATCCAGCGATGCTGGACATTGATCGTGATATAATTTATTTAAGGGCAGTCACGCGGAGGAATTGTGATGGCGGTGCAATTATGATATAACATTCCCATTTTGACAAAAACTTGTCAAAGAATCATATATTTTTAACAATTCCGCGTGATTATCATTGATGATAGGTCTTGTTGGAAATTACAATATCATATGTGTGTAAATCAGAAAATCTAGATTTATTTATGCAAATATCCTATCGCGTCCTAAATCGTTTTCTTGATAAACTATCACTGCATCTCATTGAATACTGATCATCTGATAACTTCTATCATGCTGGTATTATCCGAACATTCATAAAAAACCTCAAAACAGGATGTTGATTTGAATAAAGTGGTTGAAGAAAAAAAGGAAAAAAAGATTTGGTTTACTATTCCGTTCATGAGTGATATTGCTAACAAATTCAAAAATGCTGTACAAGATTTAGATGTAAATTTATCGTTTTTCAGTCTCAATAAGCTCAGTTGTTTCATCCATACACACAAAGATCATTTACCTAACATGCAAAAAAGGAATTTAGTTTACAAAATTAATTGTAATGACTGCAATGCTTCATATGTTGGTCAGACAAAACGCACACTAAAAACAAGAATCACTGAACATAAAAATGATATACGCAAAAATAATGGAAATTTTTCTGTTATTAGTGAACATAGATTAAATTCGAATCATGAGTTTGACTGGGATAATACTGAGATTGTTGATTCTGAAAGATGGTTTTATAGACGACGTATTGCAGAAATGCTACACATTAAATTACAAATTAATAGTTTAAATTTACAATCAGATACCGAATTTTTACATAATTCGTACTTACCTATCTTAGACTCGTTAAAATGATGTATTTAATATGATTTCTTATGTGTCAATGTAATAGTGCTTAGTTATTGGTGGTATCTGTTTTTACCGTTCTGCGCAGTCTCATTATATTCTTGTCTTTCCCACACTTTGTTTTTATCTCATTTGACTATTGTCCGTTGACTGTGTATCATTTTTATTTCACACGTATACTTTGTAATTCTTTTGATGTTAATTTGCTGCATTGGTGAGTTTCTCATTGATCTTTTTAGTTTCTTCACTGATTATTTGTTTATTGACAATTTTTATTTAATAGTTTTCCATTATTTGCCAAAGAACGTTCAAATTTTTTGTCTTATTCTAATGGAGATGATGTGTTATCACACCTGTGCAGCCAATTGATGACCATGCTATTTTAAATTTGAATGGATATTGTTCGGATCATTGAAGATGGCTCAAATAGAAGCCGAAACGTCTGATTTATTTTTATAAGTATATTTTAATAAATAATTTTAATTCGCACGAACAACCGCAGTTTTTGACTCTCATTAGCCTGTTTTATTTATTGTTATTAAAAAAATTAAAATTTGAGTTTACGTCCAAGTAATTTGTTACGTAAATTCTCCTTTTTTTTCTTAGGGAAAGTGAATGGGAGAGCACAGTGGACTTCAAGGGTCAAAAGGTATAATGAAAATGTAGCGAAAAACGGACTTCACAGTTTAATTTGTAGCCATTTGAAGGTCAAAGAAATGGTAAACTTAAAATCGTGACTGATCCCCTTTTCCAAATATCACAAAAATGCGTTTTAATTTAATAGTACACGACAAATAAGCTCATAAAATTTTTTTGTGCGCACCATTTTTGCGTGCGTGCGTTTTGTACATTTTCATTATACCTTTTGACCCTTAAAGACCACTGTGAGAGGAAGGGAAATAAAAATGTGTCTTACTTGTAACCCGAAAGAAAGGTGGCGGCGATCAGTCCCTCACAGCAATGACCTGGTCCACAGCGGAATCTGCTGAAGGCAGGTTTCAAAGACCTTCGGAGGCGGACGGTCGGTCGTGGATGGTCCTGGTGGACTTCGACGAAGCCTCAGAGGCGCACAGTCGGTCGTGGATGGTCCTGGTGGACTTCGATGCACTGATTCTAACCGACCACCAGATCTTGGTCAGTTGACTCGGGCGATGCCTCGGACAACTGACTGTCGACCAAAGAGGTGACTGCGCGAACAAGAGAGGCCGGACAGTAGACTCGGGCTTATCGCCTCGGACTACTGACACGGTGGTGCTGAAGATTACTACTGACGCTGTGCGCTTCCGAGGGCCTCGTATTTATACCCCAAAAGGGCGGGCTTTTCCTTTGTCTGGAAATTTTTGCAACGCTAGCAACTTGTGACATGATTTACGATTTTTCTTAATTCCTATCAATATTGATATCAAGCGTCTTCTAGGAAGAGCTCCGAGAATAAAGGATTTTACGATTTTTGCTAGTCCTATCGAGGTTGATCTCGCGTGTTCTCGGGGAGTTAAGAAAAATAAAGTAATTTACAATTTTTCTTAAGGGTTTTATGCGTAGGAAATTACAGTCGGGACCATGTCGCGCTTTGTTATAGAAAAAATATATGACCAGAAGAGTCGTCGGTTTCCGCGCTTCATTTATTAGATGTCAAATGAACATTGCTGTGGGAAATTCTCTAAGAGTTTTACGATTTGGCACAATGGACATGGCGCTAGTTATTTTTTTTTAAGCTAGTTTTCTTAGAGTTCCCAGATGATACCTTAGAGTGTTTGTTATCTAATGACCGCTTAGAAATATGTGGTTTCGCAATTTCTATCCCCGTCAGCCCTTTGTACGCAAGTTGTTTTCCTCGTTTTATTTTTCTTTTGAGTGGCATTTACGAGCTTCCCAGCGCGTGGTGTTTACTTAGGCCTTGATTATCAGATATCCGCGCTCGGGCCCTTCTCGTAAATTTCACTCTGGTCATGACGCTGACCAAGATCCTTTGAAAGAAAAGAATCGTGGAGTCTACAGGACGTAACAATCTTAGATCGACGCTTTGTCGCGCGCGGTTTAAAGAATGTGCAGACTTGCATTTCCGGTGCTGGTTGCTATGCCGGTTGAAAAGAAATAATTAATAAAATAAGTGATAGCCATTCGGGCTATAACAAAATAGACGCTTCTGACATTTACAGCAAACTACTTTTATACATGCATATGACTATACAAATGAGTACCGTCAAAATAGACGCTTCTGACATTTACAACACACTACTTTTATACATGCATATGGTACATATTACAAACCAGTACCGTCAAATTAGACGCTTCTGGTACTATAGGTTATACCACACTATGGCAACGGAGCATAGATATTCTAAAAATTACCGAATACGCACATCCGCCTACTACTGTCCAGTATAATAGGTGCACGCTAATAACTCGATGAACGGGCCGCCCCGTCCAAGCTGTCAAACGCACTGTCACAGATGCACAGCTGGATTATGGATCCAGGCACTCCGATCAGCTGATAGGCAACATAGCGCGTGAACGATCTCGACGCTACGTTGCCATGTCGGCGCGCCAAGCATGCTGTGTCGACCTGCGATGCTATGAATCGCGTTGAAACTGGAGACGGCTGACACGCCGCGAACGAGTATTCAGAGCTTCATTCTAATAAAGTTTTAACTGTCAATAACAGTACGGATTAAAATAAAAAAAATTCATATTCAAGATTGGTCGAACATTTTCATTTTTTATTCGTGCTGATTGGATAATTAGTTCGAGAGAACAAAAATCGTAAATCTAGTCAGCTCTGACATTTTCTATCTCCAAAATTATTGATTTTATCAAAAAAGTTTGAGAGACCAAAAATGTTCACTTTGATCCAATTTAGCGTACATAATTTTTTCGGAATTTTTGTTCAAAGTTTAGATTTTTTAAACATTAAATTGTAGCTTTGACCACAACAAATGATGGAAATCTTTTTTCATTGATTGAAATTTTACAGATCTGATTACGCTGAAATGTATTTATAAGTTTGAAAAATTTATTATCTAATTTGCTAACGACAATGAATCCAGATATTACTCATACGCTATAGTAGGGGAGACTAGGGCCAGTTGTAACGGACGTAAGTTGTAACAATGCATATATCTTTTAAATGATAAGAGATACAATGATCATGTGAAGAACAAAAATACTCAGTATCGGGGCCTGCGTTTGCTTCATACCACCAATCGCGCGTGTGCTGCATGTAAAAGAGGTTATGTGTATTGTGTTCAGACAAGCCACGTAAGTGTAAATTTACAATGTTATACTTTTTTGCTTTAACCCGTAGTGGTCACACTGGGTCTGTCTGACCCGAGGCAATTTTTGAGTTGATGTAGTCAATAGATCAAGTAGAACGCAAATGGCGACTGTTTTTTTGCGTCGGATCAACTGGACCCAGTGTGACCAATACGTTATTTTTAAGAGGTGTGATCACTGCGGGTTAAACTTTCAAATGAAATGCTCTTTATTGTATTTTCATTTTATTATATCTAAAATACAATTTCTCAAGTTATGTGCATGTGTTTTTTTAATATTTTTAAGTAGTTCCAAACATATTCATATAAATTTTGGCAACATCGGTTTGGGGTTAGAAGTAACATATCGCTGGGGTACATTGTAACACCATTAATCTTTTATAACTTATGCTCATTTACTTTATATCTCCTTTTTTTCACATTTAAAGCATGAGGAACTATAAAAGGAATACTCAACGTGCACACAAATTGTCGAAAATATTTGAAAAAGCAGCAAATCTAATAGAAAATGAAGGTAAATCAGTAAGAAGTGATATATAATACATATGTGTGTGTGTGTGTGTGTTTAATTATCCAATCAGCACGAATAAAAAACGAAAATGTTCGGCCAATCTTAAACTTTAATGAGAATTTTTTTTATTTTAATCCGTACTGTTGTTGACAGTGAAAAACTCTATTACAATGTAGCTCTGAATGCTCGTTCGCGGCGCGTGAACCGTCTGTTCAACATTTAAATTTGCGTTTTATTTTATAAACCTTAAAATTAATATTTATTAAGATGATGTTACAACTTTCCCTAGCCCTGTTTCATTTTATCCCAAATCGGGGCAAGATGTACCAGTTTGGACTTCTTTATTTTTTTACATTTATTTACATGAACATCTTAAAATTACACCTTTTTGTCAATAATAATATAAAGCTGAAGAGTTGTTGCATCATGTGCATTAAAAGAAATAAACGTATAC